GGGGAGGGCCCCGCCCCTGGAGGTGTTCCCAAGCCATGGAGATGTGGGGTGAGGGACATGGGGCAGTGGGGACCTGGCAGTGTTGGGGGTGGTTGGACTTGATCTGAAAGGTCTCTTCCAACCCAAACGATTCTGTGATTCTATCATTGTTTTAAATTCAAATTTCAGGGACAGGCTAAAGCCAAGAAGCCAGAATTGGGAAACCTCAAATTATATAGCATTCATGGTCAGAGAAAACCAGAGATGGAGTCTTAGATTTGGCCAGGTTGGGCTCCAGTGAAGGATGAAGTAAGGGGAGGAGACAGGGCAGCCTGCTCAGCAGCAGCAGAACCAGACTCCAGTGTCAGCCCTGCCAAGCACAAGGCTCTGCTGCCTCTGGGGAAGGACTGGAAGTCAGGAGATGATTTGCCTTCTGCTGGGCAGTGATTCTGCTGTGGGGTAGAGGAACCCCCAGTGGCAGCAAAGGGTGAAGGGATTTGCCAGACAGCCTTGAACTGGAGCTTATTCAAAACCCCCCCAGACATGGATATGAGCTGGCAGGTCTCAGGAGCAGCCTGCTCCTCAGGCCACGTCCAAGGCCAGCCAGCTTGGGCACACTACAAGTCTAACTCCAAGGCCTTGGAGGACAGGACAGTAAACATGGGCTTGATTAAGGCAGTAGATCATTATACCCATTTTTGGGCCATTCTGTTGCTAATGAATGTTTCCAAGTGCCTGGAGTAGGCAGAACTTCCTGACAGAGCTGGCTCAGATGTATCTCCAAGAATGCTGAAAGCAACTGTGTGTCTGTCTTTGATCAAAGGCCATGAACATCACTTCCAGTTCCATCAACAGCTCCCTGCTCCCCCCGAATTATCCAACCCCAAACTTACATCCATGACTATTCATCCCTTGCTTCTGGCAAATCCTTTAAGTTCAGCTTGTTAGGTGGTTGTTGTTTTTTTTTGCTTTTTCACTTTGCCAAGTGTCCCACATGCAAATGAAGCAAATAAAACCTGTCAGCACACAAAGCAAAGCAATGACATTCCCCACCCCTTGCAAGAGATGCTCCTGCTGGGAGAGACAGAGCTAACACTGGCAACTGCTGCACCAGACTTCAGCACTAATGTCTGTCTCTGCAGGAACCTCCTCTGCAGCCTGTCACAGCAGTGACACGTGGGGAGGGTATAATGATCCAGCCTGTTCCCCTCGTTGTGGTTAATAGCTGGCTTTCTGTGCAGTTACAAGCTGGGCTTTCTCCTCTTTGATCTGTCTTCTTGGAAAAAAAATCCTCCACAGCATCTCCTCACTTCCCAGGTCACCATCCTGGGTATGGAAGGCAGTTTTGTGGCAAGTGGGAAGCCACATGCTAGTGCTTTCAGGTCTAGCTTCCTATGGATACAGGTCAACATCATAAATCCTCCTCTGTGTTTGGACACTGATCATCCTTCTTGTCAGCTGTCACCACACAGTGGCCAGGGAATGAAGACTGGGCTTGCTGTCCTGCTCCTAATGGTCTTTGGGTGCTAGGATTGAAGTAATCACCAGGGCTGAGGGAGCTGGGGGTGCTGAGCCTGGCGCAAAGGAGGCTCAGGGGAGACCTTCTGGCTCTGCACAGCTCCTGACAGGAGCCTGGAGCCAGGGGGGGGTCGGGCTCTGCTCCCAAGGGACAAGCAACAAGATGAGGAAACAGCCTCAGGTTTTGCCAGAGGAGGTTGAAGTTGGAGCTGAGGAACAATTTCTTCCCTTTGAGAGTTGTCCAGGGCTGTGCCAGGCTGGCCAGGGCAGTGGTGGAGTCCCCAGTACAAGAAAGACAGGGGCTTACTGGAGCAAAGCCAGTGTAGGGCTGCAGAAGTGATTGAGGAATTGAAAAATCTGATGTACAGGGAAGGGTTGAGAGATCTGAGGCTGCTGAACCAGAGAGGAGAGGCTCATGAAGGACCTATCAGTGTGTATGGATATCTGATGGGAGGGGGTGAAGAAGACACAGCCAGACTCTTCTTGGTGGCAGCCAGTGAAAAGACCAGAGGTCAGAGGCACACCCTGAAACACAGGAAATTCCATGTAAACATAAGGAAAGATGTTCTCACTGTGAGGGTGGCCACACACTGCAACCAGCTGCACAGAGCTGTGGGACTTCCAGCCAAGAAGATCCTCAAAACCCACCTGGATGTGGCCCTGAGCAACCTGCTTTAGTCAGCCAGACAGGGACTTTGGGTTAAAGGATCTCCACAGGTTTCTTCCCAACTCTTCCATTCAGTGTTCCTGGTTTTATTTTGTAGCTTGTTTTTCAAGATGTATTTATCTTAGCACATGTAGAATCCCTTCTAAATAGTCAATCTTCATTTTCTCTGTTTGTTTTATAGGTTTTTGAAGAAAGAAAAGCCCTGCTTGGAAAATGGGTAAACTTTTCTCTTTAAATATTAAAATACAGTTACATTTCTGAACTGACCAAGAGATGACTACCATGGGAATGGAAAATGTCCTGTATTTTGGGAGATGGGGTTTATTTTCCTGGAGTGAGTGTTAACTGCTCTACTTCTGAGGAATGTAAAGGGATAAATCCCCTCAGTGCCCACATCCTGTGAGCTCTGATGTTGAAAAATCCTATTCCATCATCAGAAGGAGCCAAAAGGGGATAAGAAACCCTGGGAGAAGTCTGTGAAGTCTTCAAAGAAGATGCTGCATGTTTAGGTATCACCATTAGCTGCTCGAAGGGCTTTGAAAACTGGAGTGAATGACATTTTATCTACCAAGTGCACACAACTGGCTCCCAATCCTGTCATCACTGAGCCCCTCACAATTTCTTACTGACATGATCTTCACAGCTCCAGCATGAGACAGGAAAGTGCTGTCACCCTGTCTGAAAAAAATGAGGCACAGAAAGATGTGGAAAAGGGATTTAGATGGCCTCTAAATCTTTGGGTCTCCAACCCAAGACAGTCTATGATTCTCTGGTGTATAAATGGAACCAAAGAAGCACTTACATGGTCACATAGGATAGATAAGCTAAACAGAAATACAGAGATCATGCTCCTTATCAGCACTCTTGGATAAAGAGTATTAGCACTGTGACTTCATTTCAACTGTGGTGCTTGTTCTTTATGCCTAAAAGGTCTCTCATAGGAAATTTTTTGCATAAGAACTGCTCTTTATAGACAAGTTCTCTATAACTCCCTGACAGGAGGCTGGAGCAAAATGGGAGTCAGTGTCTTCTCCCAAGGAACAAGCAACAGGACAAGAGGAAAGGGCCTCAAGTTGCCCCAGGGGAGGTTTCAGTTGTCCCTGAGGAACAATTTCTTGCCCTGGAGGGTTGCCCAGGGCTGTGCCAGGCTGCCCAGGGCAGTGGTGGAGTCCCCACCCCTGGAGGGGTTTCCAAGCTGTGGAGATGTGGGGTGAGGGACATGGTCTGCCCCTGGACTCGACACTGGGGAGGCCACAGCTTGAGCACTAGGGTCAGTTTTGGGTGCCACAGGATAAGAAAGACCTTGAGGAGCTGGAGTGGGTCCAGAAAAGGGCAATGAAGCTGGTGAGGGCTCTGGGGAACATGGATGGTGAGGAGCAGCTGAGGGAGCTGGGGGTGCTGAGCCTGGAGCAAAGGAGGCTCAGGGGAGACCTTCTGGCTCTGCACAGCTCCTGACAGGAGCCTGGAGCCAGGGGGGGGGCGGGCTCTGCTCCCCAGCAGCTCCTGACAGGAGCCTGGAGCCAGGGGGGGGTCGGGCTCTGCTCCCAAGGAACAAGGGACAGGATGAGGGGCAATGGGCTGAAGTTGCCCCAGGGGAGGTTTGATTGGATCTGAGGCAGAATTTCTCTCCTGGCAGAGTGGTGAGGCCTTGGCCCAGGCTGCCCAGGGAGGTGCTGGAGTCCCCAGCCCTGGAGGGGCTCAAAAACATGTGGATGTGGACATTTGGAACATGGTTTAGTGGTCATGGGAGTGTTGGGCTGATGGTTGCACTTGATGATCTTAAAGGTCTTTTCCAACCTTAATGATTCTATGTATTAGTGGGGACCTGGCAGTGCTGGGTTAATGGTTGGACTTGATGATCTGAAAGGTATTTTCCAATCAAGACAATTCTCTGATTCTGTCTTTCTATGCTAAACTCACAAGGATTAATCATTTTTATAGGAAATCTGCTCTCCACAACTTGTTGATGTATGTGCATTTTGATAATGGGGAATTTTATGGACACCAGGAAACAAAATCAGTGAATGATTATTGCTCTGAGCTCCCTTCAAGGCCTGTGGCATTCCAACCTCTGGTGTGCAAAACCTCAAGAACCCTGAGTTTGAGAGAGGCTGTGTCAAGAAATCCCAGTGCTCTGGGCAGGAGCTTTTCTCTGGATTCACATGAGCTTCTGAAAGTCCTCCCAGGAAGTCTGGCTGGGTGAGACTGCTGAAGGGTGGGTTTGTAGGGCTGGGAACCCCTCCTCAGTGAGCTGTAAGTGCTGCAGGGTGGAACTGGAAGGCTGAAGTCTCTCCTGAGTCCAGGACTGTTAAGAATTTCCAGTAACACTGGGATGATGGAATAGGAAGCACATACATCAGCAGATGATGCCAGGCTTGGAGGGATTTCATGAACTTTGGAGATTAGAAATCAGAATGAAAAGATCTGCAGTTGGATAAGGGAAAGTGCTGCATCTAAGAATGACTTTTATAAAAACTGCAGAGCCAAGAAAAGCCAAATGTGCAGGAGCTCTGCATAAAAATGCTGGGAGTTGTGGTGGATACAGACTCAGTGTAAGCTGGCAGAAAGGCTGAGAGCCCTGGGGCTGCTGAGCTGGAGCAGAGAAGCCTCAGAGGGGATCTGAGCAGTGCTGAGCAAGAGCTAAAGGGCCCCGGGGGGCAAGAGGCTGGGGCCAGACTCTGCTCAGTGGTGCCAGTGACAGGACAAGGGGCAACAGGCACCAACTGGAACCCAGGAGGTGCCACCTGAGCAGGAGGAGAAACTTCTCTGCTGGGAGGGTGGCAGAGCCTGGCCCAGGCTGCCCAGAGAGGCTGGGGAGTCTCCTGCTCTGGAGAGATCCCAAACCCTCCTGGCTGTGCCCCTGGGCACCCTGCTGGGGGTGAGCTGCTGGAGCAGGGGGGGGATGAGATGATCTCCAGAGGTCCCTTCCCACCACACTGGGCTTCTGGGATTCTGTGAAGTATCTCAAAGGCAGAGCCACCCCCACTTCTGGTCCCTGCATTTTGAGAAAGCTGAGGAGCAGTTGGAGATCCTTCTGTGAATAAATCCTATGTGAGAAGAGTCTCATGTCCACAAAATGCATCAACAATTCCTGTAATGTAGGGAAGGTGGAGAAAAGACATAATAACATCCCTCCATGGACACAGAAATGGTGTCCAAAGAGAGGAAGGGAATGATCTGTGTGTTAACACTGGACAGGACAAGAAATCATGATGGAGACACACTTTAGAGCCCAGCAAAATGTGGTGCTGCAGATACTCCCTGCTGGAACACCTTGCCTAGGGATTAGGGCTGGGATCTCCCTTCTGGAGCCTTCTGAGCACAGGTCAGACAAACACACGTGACAGGAAGGGTTCAGGTGGATGAACTAGCTCAGTGTTTCTCAGCCCATCTTACACCAAAGGAGCCTCCAAGCTCCTGGGACAGCAGAGCAGGTTGCCTTGTCTGGCATTGCCACAGGGACATCCCTCTGCAGCCACAGAAAGATTGGATGGTTTATTTTATTCTCCCTGATTTTATTTCTGTGCATGCAGGGACCATGTCTGTGCCTTTTCTCTTGGCTCTTTTTTTCCACGAGTGCCAGGGGACAACTTTGATGTGTCCCAGGCTGTTGTGGTCCATCCCACAGGCTGAGGAACAACGAACTAGCTGAGGTGAAGGGATTTCATTTCTCTCTGCACGAAGGACACGGGACTGGCTGTGCTGTCACCTCCAGCATCCAAGACTTGTGCTGGGATTTTCCTTCACACCAGCTCCTTTGACCCAAATACCATCCAGAGACACATAAAAGAGAAATGTTGTTGCTGTCTTTGAGTCGAAACCCTTTTGTTGGTTAAACTATGAAGGGGTTAACACCTCCCTGTTAATTTTTTCTCTTTTATTCTAGTTGCTTTCATTCTGTTTTCACGTGCTGCCTCTCAGCCTCCCTCCCTGCTGTGTTCTGCAAGCCAAAAATTCCTCCCATTCATTTAAAAACCATGAAAGCATTTTGCTCTCCCTTAATGCTTGGTGCTGTCCTGCTGACACCCAGATGGAGACCTGGACAGTGAAGCTGGGGTTGAATTGTAGATGGAGACACCTAAGGTGCAGTGGCTCCAGGTGAGCTGACTGTCCCATCTTCCATTGGGGCCAAATGAGATGTAGACCAGTCAGGGGAGCCCAGGGAGTGATTCAGCTCATGCTGTGGGTCACATCTCCTGCTAGGAAGTGGCACAGCACAGCTGGGTGTTCACAGCTCCTGGAGCTTCCTCCTCCACACCCTGAGGTGCTCAGCACGTTCCCTGGGGTGATCTTGGCCTCGGGTGGTAGAGCTCTTCCAGGTGTTCTTCAGAGACAATTTGGACATCTTCCTAGGCCAGGAACCATGCCATGTACACAGTTTGGATCCAGCCACCTTGTTCTGAAGGATGAGAGTGTGACAGTGGGGATGTAGGCACCCAGAGTGCCCAGGCAGCCAAGGAGGCCACCAGCATCCTGGCTTGGGTCAGCACTGGTGTGGCCAGCAGGAGCAGGGCAGGGATCATCCCCCTGCACTCAGCACTGGGGAGGCTGCACCTCAAATCCTGGGGTCAGGTTTGGGCCCCTCCCTCCCAGAAGGACCTTGAGGGGCTGGAGCGTGGCCAGAGAAGGGCAACGGAGCTGCTGGGGGAGGGTCTAGAGCCCAAGTGGGGGGAGGAGCAGCTGAGGGAGCTGGGGGCGCTGAGCCTGGAGCAAAGGAGGCTCAGGGGAGACCTTCTGGCTCTGCACAGCTCCTGACAGGAGCCTGGAGCCCGGGGGGGGTCGGGCTCTGCTCCCAAGGGACAAGGGACAGGACAAGAGGAAAGGGCCTCAAGTTGCCCCAGGGGAGGTTTCAGTTGTCCCTGAGGAACAATTTCTTGCCCTGGAGGGTTGCCCAGGGCTGGGCCAGGCTGCCCAGGGCAGTGGTGGAGGCCCCACCCCTGGAGGGGCTCCCAAGCCGTGGAGATGTGGGGGGAGGGACACGGGGCAGTGGGGACCTCGCAGGGCTGGGGGAGGGTTGGACTTGATGATCTTAAAGGTCTTTTCCAGCAGAACAATTCCATGATTGTTCTACCTCTTGGTCTTGTCTGTCTCTCCTGTCACAGCAGATGTGATGCAGGACTTGCAGACAATTGTCACCCTTGGAGTGGCAGCTCTAGGCTTTGGGGGATACCCACAAGACAGAGCACTGGTGTCTGGGCAGCTGAACCCCATCCCTGGTCCCCACGGACCCCACCTGTAGACACCTCACCTCTTTACCCAGGAGGTCATGGTAAGGTTGCCAAGGTGCAGAAGCCATGTCTTCTCCTCAGGGGTGCTCCTTGTCACCTGGGTGCCACCTTGCCTTCCTCAACACTCATCCCAGGAGCCTCCAATTGCAAAATTTCAGGTTTAGTTGTTTAACTACTGTGGTGAAAGCAAAACCAAACAGATCCTGGGGGTGGTTGCCAACTGCTGACCTGAGCTGTGGGGGTGTGGGTGGGTGGGTCAGTGGATCTCACAGGTATCTGCTGCATCCCTGCTCTCCTCACCCAGGTCCTGGGTCTGCTGTGTCGAGACAGGGGGAGGATGGCTGGGGAGGAAGGGCAAAATTCCTCCTCTCTAGGTGAATCCTCTCCATCTACTTGGAAGCTGTTCTGCAAAAGAGCCTTGTTGACTGGAGGGTTCAGCCCAACACTTGCCAAGCCCAGGGCTGCCCACGTGTGGCTGTAACCCTGTGAGCTCCTGTCAGTGGGAGGGCTGGAGGTGAGGATTACATCCCACCCCGGTGGCCACTTCCAGTCCTTATTTTGCTGACCACTTGCCCAGCTAGGAAGGATATTATCATGAACACAACACACGAGCCAGGTCCCTCCCTCTGGTCTGAGGTCATATGCAAGAGATCCAAGGTGGCCACCTCAGGAGGGATGAGCAGATCAATGTATTCACTCGTGACACATGATGCAGTGAAGAAGGGAACAAGCTGATTCCAAACCCAGGCCCTGGGGGGAGGAATAAGCCAAGCATAAGAATCTTCATAATCTTCATGCTGTCTTGATCTTGTCCTACCATTGCTGGGAACTCTACTTGTAGTGGAGCCCTTCCAATGACTGGAAACCCTACACAGCCCATCTGTCATGTCAGTAGGCTTCCCAAAACCACAGCAAGCAGAGCCAACTCTTATGGGATTACCTTGGAGGTGGGACAAGGTGTTCATGCCAAAGGCAGGGGGACCTGGGGGTGATCTCCTCATCAGTTCCCACCCAAGGCTGGCCAGACTGGGTGAAAACCCATCAGGAGGGGCTTTTTGCCTGGTTGTAGACATCATCCCTACAACCACCCCTGGGGGTTTAACCCCAGCCCTTGAGTCCTGCAGCAGAGAGGGGCCTGGGAGGGGCAGAGCTGCTGTTCCAGCGCTGAGCTGAGCTCTGGTCCCTCCCCTTGGTGCCAGGAGGCGTTAGCTGGGTGTGTGCACTCCTGGATCCATGGATGGAGCCCGGGAGCAGAGCAGCCTCGTGTCCTACAGCCCCTGGGGGCACGTCGTGCTGGCTGGGGCTTTGGGAAAGGCACAGAAAAGGGCAAAACCTCTTCCTAGCTGCTGCAGAAGGTGCAGCACCTCGACAAGGGGAATCCGGTCCAACTGGTTGGGCTGCTGTAATCAGATGCAAGGGGAGGAACCGTGGAGAGAAGGAGCCAAATGTGGGCTGGGGAGATGCTTGTTAATACTGGAAAAGAGACAAATTCTGCCTGCCGAGCCACGGGGCTGGTGCTGAACGTGGTGGAGAGCAGGGGCTCTGTCTGGGTGGGAAGATTTGGGCCATGTCCCCTGCTCCTGACTGCACGGTGCCCATTTAAAGGGAGTTTCCCTCACAGTGGGAGCTCAGGATGAGGGAGCTGGAAGGAATTGCATCACTGCAAACCCCACGGCAGCATGGGGAGAGTTAAACTGAAGAGGTCTGTAAATATTCTGTCTCAAAGGGGAAGCTCAGTTTGCTTTGAGGAGTTCAGTTAATGTCTTGGCGTGGAAGGGAGGAAGCCAGTTACCACCTTGTCTCTGGAACTCAGATGGGAGAAATCTGTCTTTGGGAATGAGTGATTGGGGATTGGTTTAATGACAGGAGGGTGTAGCTGTGGTCATGAGCAGGGAGTGTGTGCAGCAGCAGCTCTCCCCCTTCACCAAGTGGCTGAGAACACCTTTCATATCAAGCTGAGGGTGAGGAGGGGGTGGGCAGGACCTCCTCTGTCCCCCTCCTTTGCCTCATTTTATTCTCAGGGAACATGTTTCTAAGCCTCAAATCCAAAGATCCTGCTTCAGCTTTTCCCTAGTACTCTGCTTAACACCAGTAGAGGTGAAAGAGCAAAACTGGGATGATGGGAGGAAAAGGGTTTAGTCTTTAATCCCCTGTTTGTGTCTGGAAGGGCATGGACCTTGGGGAGCTCTTTTCCATTTGGCTTTTCATCTCTCCAGGATCTCAGGGATGCCAGTTCCACCACGCTGACCACCTTGAAGGTCTTGCAGAGATGTTTGCTAAAAGAAGAGCTATGTACTTCTTAGAGTTCATTCTCCAGGACTGGAGTAAAAGTCAAGAAACAAATTTTCCCACAATAATTTAAAAAAAAAAAAAAGGCCGGAATGCATATTTTTTCTTGTTATTTTTAATTTTTGGAGGTCAGGTTTCAATAAGGGCTTCAAGTGGCCCTGAGGTTACCTGGAGAAGTGAGCGTGCTGTGATCTGACCTGTGGAGAGCGGGCTGGCAGCAGGGGAAAGCTGCCTCCAGGGAGGAGCCCTGTGAAAGCAGGGTGCCTGTTTTGGGGATGGCCAACCCGTGGGAAAAGCCAAGGGGGAGAAGCAGCATTCCCCAGAGAGGGGAATTCCCAGGGCACTTCAGCTTTCCCTTGGAAGAGAAGCTGAGGGTGAGTCAAGGCTGCTAGGGTGAAGCAGGACTGCTCCAAAATCCGTGTTTCCCCTCTGCCACTTCTCCCTCCTGGTATCTCCCCGCAGCCAGGACTGCTCTTGCAGGTTTGGAGGGGAAAAGCCAAGGGGGAGAAGCAGCATTCCCCAGAGAGGGGAATTCCCAGGGCACTTCAGCTTTCCCTTGGAAGAGAAGCTGAGGGTGAGTCAAGGCTGCTAGGGTGAAGCAGGACTGCTCCAAAATCCGTGTTTCCCCTCTGCCACTTCTCCCTCCTGGTATCTCCCCGCAGCCAGGACTGCTCTTGCAGGTTTGGAGGCATTGCACAGGCTGTGGCTGTGAGGGTCGGCTCCTCCCCGGAGGCGTCTGCTGACGG